CTGAAAAAATCGCCAAAGTGCAGATAATTGCGGACTGAGGGGCAGACTATTTGGGGGGGGGGGGGTGGCTGTGTGTACTGCAGATGGGGGAGGGAGGGGGTCGTATAAAGGCAGGAGAAGGAGGTAAGCAGTTTATACAGTGAGGGAGCACTTTATAGCTCCGAGAAGGAGCTGTCATTCGCCCCCTCCGCTAAAGTAAACAAAGAGGCGGGGGTCACTCAAACAAGCCGGCAATTGCATTTAAAAACCGGCAATGACATTTAGTGGTAGCAAGTGAAGGAGTCTGTCTGTATACACTGCTCCCTTATTGTATACACTGCTCCTCTCCTGCCCCTAAGTTACCCACCCACCCCCAATACACCCACCCACACACACCCAATACACCCACCCCACACCCAATACACCCACCCCCACACACCCAATACACCCACCCCCCACACACCCACCCCCAATACACACACCCAATACACCCACCCCCCCCATACACACACACCCCCAATACACCCACACACACACCCCCAATACACCCACACACACACCCCCAATACACCCACACACACACACCCCCAATACACCCACACACACACCCCCAATACACCCACACACACACCCCCAATACACCCACACACACACCCCCAATACACCCACACACACACCCCCAATACACACACACACCCCAATACACACACACCCCCAATACACCCACACACCCAATACACCCCCAATACACCCACACACACACCCCCAATACACCCACACACACACCCCCAATACACCCACACACACACACACCCAATACACACACACCCCCAATACACCCACCCCCAATAAGTCACAGGATTAGCTGTCACTTTCCCTGGAGTTAAATGAAACTTTTGTTTCTTTTAACTTGGAAAATAAATAAAAGAAAACTTTCTCTTTTAGTTGGGGGAAAAGTGACAGCTGAATTTCAGAGCTATAGTGAAGAAAAAAAGCGGTAATTACATTTAAAAACTATAATTAAAAAAAACGACGTGAGGTCCCCCCCTCCCAATCATTCCAAGCCCTTCGGGTCTGGTATGGATTTTGAGGGGAACTCCTATGCCAAAATAATTCTTTAAAAAAATGGTGTGGGGGTACCCCCCCCCCCCCAATCCATACCAGACCCTTATCCAAGCATGCAGCCTGGTAGGTCAGGAAAGGGGGAGGGGGGGACAACCGAGCATGTGACCTCACCCCATGTGACAACAATGATGTCACATGGGGCGGGGTCACTCGGGTGATGTCCCCGGGTGGCCCCGACCCTTACATATTTAAGAACTATCGAGCCAGCTCAGAGGCAGAGGACTGGAAACCATCGTTGGGAACAGAACCTTTTTTTTTCTTTTTTTGGGGCGGCGGGCATCATGATTGACGTTGGATCTACTGCGGGGGGCATTCTTTGTTTTTTCTTTTAATAAAGGACTTGTCAAAGAACATGTCCTGTCTTTTTTCACACTACACTTTTTGTTTTTTTTTTGTGAATGGGTAGTGGTACCATGTACCCCATACTCATTCACATGGGGGGCGCGGGATTTGGGGGCCCCCTTGTTAAAGGAGGCTTCCGGATTCCGATAAATCCCCTGCCCGCAGACCCCCCACAACCACCAGCCAGGGTTGTTGAGAAGGGGCCCTTGTCCCCATCAGCATGGGGACAAGGTGCTTTGGAGGGGGGAGCCCCCCCTCCGCCCCAAAGCACCCCCCATGTTGAGGGCATGCAGCCTATATGGTATGGGAGTTCTGATCAAAATCCATACCAGACCACCTGGCCAATACCATCCCTATAGTGAAGCATGGTGGTGGCAGCATTATGCTGTGGGATGTTTTTCAGCGGCAGGAACTGGTTGACTAGTCGGGATCAAAAGATGAATGCAGCAATGTACAGAGACATCCTTGGTGAAAACCTGTTCCAGAGCTCTCTGGACCCTAGACTGGGGCGACGGTTCATCTTTCAGCAGGACGACCCTAAGCACACAGCCCACATAACAAAGGAGTGGCTAGGGGCCAACTCTGTGAATGTCCTGGAGTGGCCCAGCCAGAGCGCAGACTTGAACCCGATTGAACATCTCTGGAGAGATCTGAAAATGGCTGTGCACCGACGCTCCCCATCCAACCTGATGGAGCTTGAGAGGTCCTGCAAAGAAGAATGGGAGAAATTGCCACAAAAATAGGTGTGCCAAGCTTGTAGCATCATACTCAAAATTACTTGAGGCTGTAATTGGTGCTAAAGGGGCTTCAGCAAAGGCTGGGAATACTTATGTACATGTGTTTATTTTTGTTTTTTATTTTTTAATAAATTGCAAAGATTTCAAAAAGAACTTCTTTCACGTTGTCATTATGGGGTATTGTTTGTAGAATGTTGAGGGAAAAAAAATGAATGTAATCCATTTTGGAATAAGGCTGTAACATAAAATGTGGCAAAAGTTAAGCTCTGTGAATACTTTCTGGATGCACTGTATATACGTGATTTTGCGCACCCGTGCCGCCCTGTAGTATTTCTTCTATAGGGCGGCGTGGAACCGGCTAAACTTTTTTTTTTTTTTATTAATATTGTATTTATTTTTTATTTACTTCAGGTACTTTACATAGTGCCATCAATTTATTCAGCACTTTACATATACAGTTGCAAGAAAAAGTATGTGAACCCCTTGGGATTACGTGGAGTTTTGCATGAATTGGGCATAAAATGTGCTCTGAACGTCATCCAAGTCACTACAATAGAAGAACACAGTCTGCTGAACATAATACTACACAAACATTAGATGTTGCCATGGTTTAATTACACATAACATGTAAACATTCACAGTGCAGGGAGGAAAAAGTATGTGAGGCCCTAGCTTAATGACTTCTCCCAGAGCTAATTGGAGCCAGGAGTGAGCCAACCTTGACTCCAATCAGTGTGATGATATTGGATGTGTTGCTGACAGCTGTCCTGCCCTTAAAAAACACACACCTGTTTTGGGTTTACTGGTTTCAAGAAGCACTGTCTGATGTGAACCATGCCTCGCAGAAAAGAGCTCTCAGAAGACGTACGATCAAGAATTGTTGACTTGCATGAAGCTGGAAAGGTTTACAATAGTATCTCCAAAAGCCTTGATGTTCATGTGTCCACAGTAAGACAGACTGTCTACAAATGGAGAAAGTTTAGCACTGTTGCTACTCTCCCTAGGTGTGGTCGTCCTGTAAAAACGACTGCAAGAGCACAGCGCAGAATGCTGCATGAGGTGAAGAAGAATCCCAGAGTGTCAGCTAAAGACCTACAGAAATCTCTGGCACATGCTAACATTTTTGTTGACACATCTACAATAACGAAAACATTAAACAAGAATGGAGTACATGGGAGGACACCACGGAGGAAGCCATTGCTGTCCAAAAAGAATATTGCAGCACGTTTGAAGTTTGCAAAAGAGCACCTGGATGTTCCACAGCACTAATGGCAAAATATACTGTGGACAGATGAAACCAAGATTGAGTTGTTTGGGAAGAACACACAACACTATGTGTGGAGAAAAAAAAAGGCACAGCACACCAACATCAAAACCTCATCCCCACTGTGAAACATGGCGGAGGGAGCATCATGGTTTGGGGCTGCTTTGCTGCCTCAGGGCCTAGACGGATTGTTGTCATTGATGGGAAAATGAATTCCAGAGTTTATCAAGACATTTTGCAGGAAAACGTATGACCATCTGTCCGCCAACTGAAGCTCCGCAGAGGATGGATGATGCAACAGGACAATGACCCAAAGCATACAAGTAATTCAACAAAACAATGGCTGTAACAGCACAGAATACGCCTTCTGGAGTGGTCCAGTCAGAGTCCTGACCTCAACCCAATTGAAATGATGTGGCATGACCTTAAGAGAGCGATTCACACCAGACATCCCAAGAATATTGCTACACTGAAACAGTTTTGTGAAGAGGAGTGGTCCAAAATGACTCCAGATCGTTGTGCAGGTCTGATCTGCAACTACAGGAAACATTTGGTTGAGGTTATTGCTGCCAAAGGAGGGTCAACCAGTTATTAAGTCCAAAGGTTCACATACTTTTTCCTCCCTGCACTGTGAATGTTTACATGTTATGTGCAATTAAACCATGGCAACATCTAATGTTTGTGTAGTATTATGTTCAGCAGACTGTGTTCTTCTATTGTTGTGACTTAGATGACGTTCAGAGCACATTTTATGCCCAATTCATGCAAAACTCCACGTAATCCCAAGGGGTTCACATACTTTTTCTTGCAACTGTATATTGTACATTCACACCAGTCCCTAACCCTCAAGGGGCGTACAATCTAAGGTCCCTAACTCACATTCATACATACACATACTAGGGACAATTTAGACAGGAACCAATTAAGCTACCAGCAAGTCTTTGGAGTGTGGGAAGAAAAACCAGAGCACCCGGAGGAAACCCACGCAGGCACAGGGAGAACATGCAAAACTCCAGGCAGGTGTTGCCGTGGTTGGGATCTGAACCAATGACTAGTACTGCCAGGCAGAAGTGCTAACCATTTAGCCACTGTGCTGCCCATAATACAATTCCTCAGTTACTTCCTGGTTTCCATACCTAGGCAAATGTCACATACCAGGCATCTTCAGAAGAGTAGGAGGGGTTTTCTCAGCTAACCACACCCTCCTGTCTGCATGCATGAGCTATGGGCAGATGGATTCCAGGAAGTAAATACTACACGATTCATCTGCCCTTACTCAATATGGCCACAAATGCTAGGGGGATGTATTTCAAAATGATTTCTCAGCAAAAATAAAGCATAGAAACGTGGATGGATGGGGGGATTTACTTTGGATGATAGGAATAAATTTCAGTTTATGGAGCGGAGATGCAGTGGTGTTCTTTTTTACAGCTGCATGCTAAATAAAATTTTGATGCTTCCAATGCTATTCATTGTAGTTATGGGAATATTATACAAATCGAGCTGCTTTTCAAGTTCATGGTAAATCATATTTTATTCTCTCTTCATTCTAGATCTGTCAGGACTATAACAGTACTTGGGCCTGGGAGATGGAGAAGAAAGGCTACCTGGAGATGAGCGTGGAGTGTAAAGTGGGTCTGCTGAAGGTAATGCATGCCTTGTGTTTGGGTCTAGCAATGTGTTGAGAAAACTGCTAAATGCCGAGTTGAAAACCATATATGGAAATGGAATTACCAGCTGAAGGATTTCTAATTTTGCTCAGCAAGTCTTTTGATTGAGAAACTCCCTGACAGACGATACAGGTATCTGACCTATTCTAATTCATGGAAATATACGGGTTTTTTTTAATCACCTTCCGCCCGCCATATAGTAATATGACGGGCGCAAGGTGGTTCTCTCGTTCTGCGAGGACGTCATAAGACGTCCTCCCATTCTCACCGCGAATGCGCGGCTCAGGAAGCGATCGGTGATGCGCTGCGTCCCTTGGACACAGCGGATCACCGATCACGGAAAGACCCGAAGATGTCGGCTCGGTCGTGTGATCAGCTGATCACATGTAAACAGGGAAATGCCAGTTATCGGCATTTCTCCCCTCTCGAGCTGTCACGCTGACAGAGGAGAGGAGAGCTGGTAATCGGCTTTCCGCGGAGGGGACATGTACATTGATAATCAGGGCACTGATGATCAGTGTGCCCTGGTGATCAGTGTAGCCCCAGCAGTGCCACATGTCAGTGTCCATCAGTGCCTTATGTCAGTGGCACATATCGGTGCCTACCAGTGCACATCAATGCCACATATCAGTGCCCATCTGAGCTGCCTTTCAGTGCCTATCAGTGCCATGTAACAGTGCTGCCTTTCAGTGCCCATCAGTGATGCCTGGCAATGCCCATCAGTGCCACCTACCAGTGCCTCATCAGTGCCACCTATCAGTGCCCATCAGTGCAGCCTCATTAGCGCACATCAGTGAAGGAGAAAAAATCACTTATTTACAAAATTTTATAACAAAAACTAAGAAAAACGTTGTTTTCAAAATTTTCAGTGGTTTTTGGTTTGTTTAAGAAAAAATTAACCCAGAGGTGATTAAATACCACCAAAATAAAGCTCTATCTGTCACAAAAAAATGATAAAAAAATTCATATGGGTACAGTGTTGCATGACCGCGCAATTGTCATTCAAAGTGCGACAGCGCTGGAAATTGGCCTGGGCAGGAAGGGGGTAGAAGTGCCCTGTAGGCTAGCGGTTAAAGAAACCTTCTTTCCATGTGTAGTTGGGAGTATAAATATATACATACACATAATGTGGAGAGTTGGCTCTAGCACTTTATAACATGAAATCATTGCGTGTTCTCAAAGTTTAAAAAAAAAAAAGACCATAATGCAGAACATTGGAGCCAGGCATGTACAGGACTTGAAATGAGAATACATACGAAAGTGCAGATGTAACTGTGATCTGATATTTTGGAGGGATACGGCTCATCTTTCCCAAGGCAACCAGGCTACATAGATGGTGTGCAGAAAAGATGAACCTGTCAAAAAATGATCGCATGTGTTAGTGGTGCACCGAAATGAAAGTTATGGTGCCGAAAACCGAAAATTCAGGATGCACTTGGCCTAAAACCGAAATGGACAGTTTTTAACAATGTGTATATTTTTTTATATATATAGTTGTATTGAATTCAGCTTTTTTATTTAATATCATGAATTTAATTGAATATTAATTTAAAAAATACAATCCAGTAACGTAAAATAACTTCTGTTGAAAGTAACGCACAAAAATTGGAGAGAAAATAAAATAATATAAAATTTAAAAAAAAATAAATATGCTGCACAATTTAAAAAAAAAATAAATAAATAGAATGGCAAAGAAACTTTTCACTTTTAATTATTGTGCAATATAAAGTAAATAGAACTACCCATGGCAAAATGCTTCTAATCTGTCTCATGTAAATGAAAATTGCAACTATTTTTTTCTTTTTCGTTGCAAAGTTAGTGTGCAAAAACCGTAATAAACAAAACTAAAACAGAATGGCAGAAGGCCGTTATCCTGTTTTATGTGAACATATTAATTAAAATATATTTATTATTATTATTATTATTATACAGTATTTATATAGCGCCAGGGGTTTGCTCAGCGCTGTACAGTAGCAAGGGGGACAGAACATGAGACAAGACAGTAACAATACAATACACGAGGGGTTCGAGGGCCCTGCTCTTTTGAGTTTACAATCTAGGAGGGAGGGGAAGGTGGTACAGGAGGAAATGGCTGTGGGGGATGGAGTGGAGGAGGTTAGTTGTTAGGTGAGGTCGGGGGAGGCTTCCCTGAAGAGGAGGGTTTTCAGGGTGCACCTAAAGGTGAGGAGGGTAGGCGACAGTCTGATGGATTGGGGTAGGGAGTTCCAGAGGATGGGGAAGTCCTAGAGAAGTCCTGCAATCGGGCGTGGGAGGAGGAGACCAGGGAGCTAGAGAGTAGGTGGTTGAGCAAAATAATAACAGAATTAACCAACAATGGCGACTATGCCCCACGGAGCGGGGGGCAGCTAGGGAGTTAAATAGTTTGCGGGGACGCATATGAGCGGGCACCTGTAGTCTGTGTCACAGTGTACCCCTGGCCGACAGCCACTTCGGTGGAGAGGAGGATCTATCATGGGAGTTACACCCGCATGCTCCACTGGATCAGTAAGTAGTGGCCCCTCCCCTTCCCCAGGACGCGGTGTGGGACGCAGGTTCTCCCCTAGGGTGGTTGGCCCTGCAGGGTCCCCTGTCACCCCCAGATCCCCCCCCCCCCCCACCTTATTATTGGCAAGACCCTGATAGTAGGGGCTCCCAGCCCTCCTGCGGTGCAATCTGTGACTCGCCTGGAGCTACCCTGGCACTGAGGGGGTTTGTCCTGCTGTGGGGGGTGGGGAGGTGTCTGCTATTGATTGTGGTCCTACCTGGACCTAGGAGGGGGGGGGGGCTCGGATGGATGCTCTTAATCCAGCATTGTGCACGAGTGTAGAGGCTCTCCTTCCTCATTGGCTCAGAGACAGCAGCAGCAGCAGGAGCCATTGGCTTCCACTGCTGTCAATCATAGGGAGAGGAGGGGGGGCTGAACCGCACTCTGTTTGTCTATGGACACACACAGCCAGCTCGACAGCAAGGCCGCACGAGTGTCTCCCTAGCAAACGGCTTGTTATGCTGGGTACTTGGCAGGGGAGAGGTGCCGGGAGGATTTGAGAAGAGGGGGATTGGGTCTGCTGAGCAGGTAAATATCACATTTTTTTTTAATTTTAATATAAAAATGATGGTTTTACAATCACTTTAGTGGCTAAACGAAGTGTTGTACATACACTCTCACACGCTCATGCTTGGGCACCAATATTTACTAAGTCAGCACGCAGTCATCTCTGCTTTGCAGTGCTACACAATGTGTGTGCTTCGTTGTTTCTTTTCACAATGCGAATGTTTAGGTCTGCCAGCCCACTGAAAACCGTTCAGCCCTTTTGTGGCTGCTATTTTATCTCAACAATTGTTAGAGGCAGTAAATGGCCAAAGTGACAGGTTGTCTTTAAAAAAAGAGTGACTCCCAGGGGCGGACTGACCATTCGAGCACTGCCAGAGGGCCCAGGGTCAGTAGGGGGCCCCATGAGATGCTCTTGGTACCTTTCATTGGCTTTTTCATAGGCTTTTTTGGGTGTCGGCGAGGACACAGGGGCCCCATGATTCCCTATTGCCCGAGGGCCCCATGAGTTGTCAGTCCGCCCCTGGTGACTCCCCAACTACTAATGCTTACGTTGGCTGTGCTCTTCTGCCGCTGTTTCCCTGTCTGAATCCTCAGCAAATACCCAGTTTTTGGGTATGGGACTGTATGTGATTCCTCCCAGGATGCAATGCTCAGACCTCAGCAGCCAATTGCCAGGTGTAAGCACTGTCACCTGGAGGAGAGGAGGAAGTGATTACCCTGTGTAAGCTTCAAAAGGGGGTTGGGCTCCCAGCTTCAAAGGGAACAGAGTGCTGTCTATTTTCTCTGTCTGGTCTTTAGCTTTAGGCTAGGTTAACACCTATGCAGTTTGCGTTTGATCCGTTTTTGCAGTGCGTTTTGTGTTTTTGTTGCGTTTTTGCTTTTTTTGGGTCAACTTGTTGCTGGGCAGATTCAAAACGCATCAAAAATGCACGGAAAACGCAGCACTTCTATATGCAGTTCCATTGAAGTCTATTGGACTAAAAATGATGGCATGCACTGCGTTCCTGCATAAAAAACACACAGGTGTGAACCTGGCCTTAAAGTGGTTGTAAACCCCTAAATATACCCAGCGAAGTGACTGGCCATAGGTGATGCACAGAGATGAAGCAAATCCACCTATATAAGTTGTGCCTGTTCATTTGCAGTCGTATTCTGTACGTCTGGGTAAAGTGCAGAATTGATACGGTTTGCCTGAGCTTTCAGAAAGCAGGGGGCGGGAAGTTGAAGTTGCACACTGTAGAGCTCAGTGAGGAGAGCTCTGAGCACTGATTGACCATACCCTCCCCACCAGGGGCGGACTGACAACTCATGGGGCCCCAGGCAATAGGGGATCATGGGGCCCCTGTGTCCTTGCCCAAACTAAAAAAAAACCTATGAAAGAGGTACCAGGGGCATCTCATGGGGCCCCCTAATGACCCCGGGCCCTTGGGCAGCGCCCGAGTTCCCAAATGGTCAGTCCGCCCCTGCTCCCCACACACACAGGAACAGAGCTGAGGTTTTCAATCACAGGCTGTGTGTAAGGATGCAGCAGACGGAAATGACACTTTGTGCTCTGGATTGACACAAGTACACACTAGAGAAGGATATGCTTTGCTCATATTTCATGTCTGATGTTTACATCCACTGTAACAGTACAAAGAAAAAAAAAGCTGCTGCTTTCCCCCCCCCCCCCCTTTTTTTTTTTTTTTTTTTTTTTTCTTTCTTTCTTCTTATATTGCTGATGACATAAGCCACCAAGTTAGTGAAAAAAAAAAAAAATTCTGAGCATGTTTTTTTTTTCTTTTTTGCAGCACTTATGTGAGTGTCAGTTTGATGACAATCTGAAGTTCAAGAATGCCATTAATGAAGAGGACGCCGATTTGATGCGCATCCAACCAATCGGAAGAGATAAAGACGGCTTAATGTACTGGTACCAACTTGATCAGGACCACAATGTCCGCATGTACATAGAAGAACAGGATGACCAGGACGGATCTACGTGGAAATGCATAGTCAGGTTGGCTTTGTGTGGGGGTGCTTCGTTGTATTGCTGTGCGTATCCAGTAATGTAGTGTAAAGTGGACCAGTCCTGTATCCCATAACGACCAATTAGAAATGATCTCAGAACGTGATGCATTGATCTGACATCGTATTGCTGCGGTTTATAACACTTTCGTATTCTGATTGCTGTATGCGCTACTATACTGAATAATCATGCAGTCATATTTAGATCAAAATGGGAAATAACAAGCAGAGATGGATTAGATGGCCTAACAAGTTTAAGTTGTTTGCCGTGATTTCCAAGTTCATAGCTTAAAGTGGACCTTTAGTGTAATCTCTTCGACTCTAATGTAACTTTTGTCTTCGATTTCTACTGAAATATACAGTGGGGCAAAAAAGTATTTAGTCAGCCACCAATTGTGCAAGTTCTCCCACTTAAAAAGATGAGAGGGCCTGTAATTGGCATCATAGGTAGACCTCAACTATGAGAGACAAAATGAGAAAACAAATCCAGACAATCACATTGGCTGATTTGGAAAGAATTTATTTGCAAATTATGGTGGAAAATAAGTATTTGGTCACCTACAAACAAGCAAGATTTCTGGCTCTCACAGACCTGGACCTTCTTCTTTAAGAGGCTCCCCTGTCCTGCACTCATTACCTGTATCAATGGCACCTGTTTGAACTTGTTATCAGTATAAAAGACACCTGTCCACAACCTCAAACAGTCACACTCCAAACTCCACTATGGTGAAGACCAAAGAGCTGTCGAAGGACACCAGAAACAAAATTGTAGACCTGCACCAGGCATGGAAGACTGAATCTGCAATAGGCAAGCAGCTTGGTGTGAACTAATCAACTGCAATAATTAGAAAATGGAAGACATACAAGTCCACTGATAATCTCCCTCGATCTGGAGCTCCACGCAAGATCTCACCCCGTGGGGTCAAAATGATCACAAAAAAGGTGAGCAAAAAATCCCAGGACCACACGGGGGGACCTAGTGAATGACCTGCGGAGAGCTGGGACCAACGTAACAAAGGCTACCATCAGTAACACACTACGCCGCCAGGGACTCGGATCCTGCAGTGCCAGACGTGTCCCCCTGCTTAAGCCAGTACATGTCCGGGCCCGTCTGAAGTTTGCTAGAGAGCATTTGGATGATCCAGAAGAGGATTGGGAGAATGTCATATGGTCAGATGAAACCAAAATAGAACTGTTTGGTAGAAACACAACTCATCGTGTTTGGAGGAGAGAGAATGCTGAGTTGCATCCAAAGAACACCATACCTACTGTGAAGCATGGGGGTGGCAACATCATGCTTTGGGACTGTTTCTCTCGCAAAGGGACCAGGACGACTGATCCATGTACAGGACAGAATGAATGGGGCCATGTATCGTGAGATTTTGAGTGCAAACCTCCTTCCATCAGTAAGGGCATTGAAGATGAAATGTGGCTGGGTCTTCCAACATGACAATGATCCCAAACATACCGCCCGGGCAACGAAGGAGTGGCTTCGTAAGAAGCATTTCAAGGTCCTGGAGTGGCGTAGCCAGTCTCCAGATCTCAACCCCATAGAAAACCTTTGGGGGGAGTTGAAAGTCCGTGTTGCCCAGCGACAGCCCCAAAACATCACTGCTCTAGAGGAGATCTGCATGGAGGAATGGGCCAACATACCAGCAACAGTGTGTGCCAACCTTGTGAAGACTTACAGGAAACGTCTGACCTCTGTCATTGCCAGCAAAGGATATATAACAAAGTATTGAGATGAACTTTTCATATTGACCAAATACTTATTTTCCACCATAATTTGCAAATAAATTCTTTTCAAATCAGCCAATGTGATTGTCTGGATTTTTTTCCTCATTTTGTCTCTCATGGTTGAGGTCTACCTATGATGCCAATTACAGGCCTCTCTCATCTTTTTAAGTGGGAGAACTTGCACAATTGGTGGCTGACTAAATACTTTTTTGCTCCACTGTAGTATACTTTATTATTATACAGGATTTATATATTATTATTATTATACAGGATTTATATAGCGCCAACAGTTTGCTCAGCACTTTACATTATAGTGGGAGACAATACAATAACAATACAGTTCAATACAAGAGGGATTTGAGGGCCCTGCTCCTTGGAGCTTACAATCTAGGAGGGAGGGGTTAATGGTACAATAGGTAATAACTGTGGGGGATGGAGTGGTTGGAAGAGTAGAGGATACTTTATATGCCTACGGCCTGATATCTGTGCATCTACAGTGTGAGATCTAAGGCGCTGCTGCATCTGACTGCTTGTCTCATCAAATTTGCAGTGAGATTTGGTTATGTCACTACTGTTCTCCTTGCTGGATAGGAAGCTGTACCTGAGGATCTGCAGTACTAGGATCTCCCTGCTTCTGCTTTATTTCGTGAAATGTGCTCTCCAAACCCCTCTTTATGCCACATTTATTCTTCTTCCAGTCATCAGATTCCCAATCATTGGGGGGGTCAAGCTTTGACATGAAAAGGCAAAGCCGTGCCACAGGATGTCTGCCTCAGGCTCCATGCACACGGGGCGTTTTGATAACGCTGGTAACATTAGCTGTGTAAAGTCACGTTTAAAAACGCTAGTTTTTCACCATTTTCTTAGTGTTTTTGCATTCGCGTTTAGCTGCTTTTTACCTCATTTAGTGGCATTTTTCCGCGTTTTTTTTTTTTGTCTTTCACCAAAAAAAAAAAATTTTTTGTGGGTCAAAGAAAGTCCAAAAATGCCGGTTTGCGGCATCTTGCCACGTTTTTACATAAAAAAAAAAAAACTCTCTAGAAACCCACTAGTCCTGTTTTTTGTTTTAGAGCCAAAAAACGTCCCAGCCAAAAAATGTTGATTCCAGTCTATGTGTGGATGGACACATAGGATAACATGCTGGGGGGTTTACTGGCTGTAGAAAAAAACGTCAAAAGTCAAAAACAGCCGCTGTAAAAATGTCTCTTGTGTGTGTGAGGACTCAACATGACACGATGTGAAACAAGGCATAGCAAGTCAGTAATGGGGAAGAGATCAGCTACAGGGAAGCCCATAGGCAACACAAAGCACTTTGTTGTCACGGGTGCTTTGAGGGAACCAAGCACTTCTTTTTTTGGCTCCATAGTTACATAGTTAGTCTGGCTGAAAAAAGACAAGAGTCAATCCACTTCAACCATTAAAAAAAAAAAAAAAGGGTTAGGGACTGATGTGAATGTACAATATATATGTAAAGCGCTAAGTAAATTGACAGGACTATATAAGTACCTGAAATAATGTTATAAAAGAAAATTAATATTAAGTGACTTGATTATTCATGTTGGTATTTTTTGAAGATTTGTGATTACTAGTGCATTTCTTTATTCTTACATTATTTTTATGTATGCATACTTATTGGTCCCTTTTTAGACGGGGTGGACCCATCAGCGGATCCGCTTGCTCAGTGGGGAATCGCCTCACTGAATTCCCGGTGAGCAAGTGGATGACACGTCTGTGTCCGCTCCGCTGCTGCAGAGCGGACAGACCCAGCCCACTGTTTTCCATGGGGTGGTCAAATGGAAACGGAATGCCCGTCCATTTCCACCCAACTGTCATCGGATCCAGTAGACCACAGGTGTCAAACTGGCGGCCCTCCAGCTGTTGACAAACTACAAGTCCCATGAGGCATTGCAAGATTGACAGTTAACAGCATGACTCCCAAGGGCAGAGGCATGATGGGACTTGTACTTTTGCAACAGCTGGAGGGTCGCCAGTTTGACACCCCTTATCCAAAGGAAGGGGGAGGTGATACAAAAGGTGATAGCTGCGGGGGATGATCTGGTGGAGGTGATTCAAGTACAGTACAGTGGAGGTGGGGTAGGTTTCCCTGAAGAAGCAAGTTTTCAAGGATCGCCTAAAGGCAGACAGGGTGGGGGCTGACCAGACATACTGTGGGTAGGGAGTTCCAGAGGATGGGGGAGGCTCTGGAGAAGTCCTGGAGGTGAGCGTGGGAGGAGGTGATGAGGGAGCTAGAGAGGAAGACATCTTGGGAGGAGCGGAGTGGGCGATTTTGGGCGATGTGCCCATCTGTCTGTTTTCAGTGTACAGGATCGGATGCTTGCGGGTGTCAGCGGACAGCCACCGGTCCAGAGAGGGCTATGGATGGTCCGATTGGGTCCACCTGAAAAACTGACAGGTAGACCCAATCAGAACGTCAGTGTGAAAGAGGCCTTATGGTTGGTAACCCAGTGAATAGATGGTATTGGGGTAGCAGCAAAATGTATGTATTTTTCATGCTGGTAGATTTGACTCATGAATGTTGCAAAGAAAAAAAAACCTAGTAATAGTAAGTTCTGTTTTTTGCTGCAGGACCAGGAATGAACTGGCAGAAAACTCTGGAACTTTTAAAAGCACAAATAGATCCAGCTTTACTGAAGAAATCTGAGCCACAGGATAGTTCATCTCGAGAAAGCCCAAATCCAGAGGATGAAGAACTGAAAAAAGGAGAGAGCGGAGGTATGAAGCCGTTACATCATGTAACGTTTGTGGTCTTTTTCAGTGAATAGTGCAGGAGGAAATGCACTTAACCACTTCCAGTCCGGACACTTTTACCCCCTTCCTGCAGAAAGTCAAAAATATTGTTTTCCTCAAAATTGTCAGTCTTTTTTTGTTTACAGCGCAAAAAAAAAAAAACCGCACAGGTGATCAAATACCACCGAAAGAAAGCTCTATTTGTGTGAAAAAAGGACACAAATTTCATTTATGTACAGTGTTGCATGACCGCACAATTGTCAGTTAAAATAATGCAGCGCCGTATCGCAAAAAATGGCCTGGTCAGGGAGGGGGGTAAATCCTCATGAGGGCAAATGGTTAAAATACATGATTTTCTGTCTCTGCTTTCACATTCCGTTATTTAAAGGATAAGTTCACCTTTGGGAAGAACATGTTACATGTTCCACCCGTTTTTAGGGTGGAACATGTAACATGTTCCCATTGCTGCAGCCACTCTCAAATTTCCCCTCCTCCCTGTGACACCAGTACAGAAGCGTGGCCGTGTGAATGAATCAACTACATGTACTGACATCCTTTGCGGTTGTCCGCTTGTAGTTCAAACTGAACTACCATGATCAGGGGCGGACTGACCATTTGGAAACTTGGGCACTGCCCGAGGGCCCGGGGTCAGTAGGGGGCCCCATGAGATGCCCCTGGTACCTTTTTCATAGGCTTTTTTGAGTTTGGGCAAGGACACAGGGGCCCCATGATCCCCTATTGCCCGGGGGCCCCATGAGTTGTCAGTCCGCCCCTGACCATGATGCTGTTATTTTATTTATTTATTTATCGAGTTTATATAGCGCCAAAGGGTTTGCTCAGCGCTGTACAATAGAGGGGGGACAATACATGAAACAGAACAGTAACATCAAACAGCACACAAGGGGTAAGAGGGCCCTACTCTTTCGAGCTTACAATCTAGGAGGGAGGGGGTAGAGGTACAGGAGGAAACGGCTATGGGGGATGGAGTGGTAGGAGGAGGGAAGGGCAGCGGCTGTTAGGTGAGGGTGGGGTAGGCTTCCCTGAAGAGGTGGGTTTTCAGGGAGCGCCTGAAGGTGAGGAGGGAAGGTGACAGTCTGATGGATTGGGGTAGTGAGTTCCAGAGGATGGGGGAGGACCTGGAGAAGTCTTGCAGTCGTGCGTGGGAGGAGGAGACCAGGGAGCAAGATAGAAGGAGGTCCTGTGAAGAGCGAAGGGTACGGGTAGGGTGGTACTTGGGAATCAGGTCGGTGAGGTAGTTAGGGGCAGTGTTGTGAATGGCTTTATAGGTCAGAGTGAGCAGTTTGAATTTAATGCGTTGGGCAATGGGGAGCCAGTGGAGGGAGAGGCAGAGGGGGGTGTTGAGCGCTGTTGAGCGCTCTAGTAGTTTGATTCTTTTGTCATGGTGTAACTGCCTGCCTGTATGAGGTATGAGCAGACAGCTTACACTGACAGTCTGCAGGAGCCCTACATTGCTCCCTCGATCTACTGATCGCTGATGCAATGCTTTCCAGGCTCCTAGGAGGGAAAAAAAAAGTAAATGCTCCTTTTTTTTTTTTTTTTTAATCTGCAAAAAAGTGCATTTATTTTTTAAAAGGTGAACTTATCCTTTAAGTTGGTGGCATGCTGTCTTTAAAATGCAGTCTCCTGCATACTGTGTGTAATCACTGTCAACAGCACTTTCTTGCTTCATTCTGCTTTACATCCTCAAATGATCTTGCTACATTTTTCTGAGTTCTCCCTCTTCTTTACAAAATACATATAATGTTGAAAATACATATAATACATATACAAAATACATATAATGTTGAAAATACATATAATACATATACAAAATACATATAATGTTGAAAATACATATAATACATATACAAAATACATATAATGTTGATGCATATAATGCGTTTCTGCCTCTTCCCACTTCTATTGTCATTCTGTGCCCCACGGGCATGATCACCCCTTTTTCCCAGCCCCCAGTCAGTGTGCGTGTAGTTGGAGCACAGAGCAAGCACAACAGACAGCACATACAGCAGAATACAGACGTAATATACAAGTCCTCTGATTAATGTAGTGGTACGTGTTGTACAGAGAGCAGGGCACAGTGCCTCCTTCGTTCCATTGACTTTCTATAAATTGTATGTAATGCGTTGATATTTACATATAGGAAGTTTTCCCTTTTGTATGCTGTAGGCAGCTAGGGTCTAGTGAAATATAGAACACGAGCACAAGGCGCCCAATAACAGGTACCAAGGGTAAGATGGGGGTCACAAAGGTGATCGATGACGCACCATCACAGTCCTTTCGTATAAATCTACAAAAAAGAGAAACTTCAGCTCAAGTTTTTAAAACATTCTTGTAATTAGAAAAAGTATTGGCAGATGTTTTTTTTTTTTTTTTTTTTTCTTCGTTATCTTGCATTAAAATATTTTGCAAAGAGTGCATGGCTATTAACCACTTCCAGTCCGGACACTTTCACCCCCTTCCTGTCCAGGCCAATTTTCAGCTTTCAGCGCTATCACACTTTGAATGACAATTGCACGATCATGCAACACTGTACCCATATGAAGGTTTTAGCATTTTTTTGAGACCGATAAAACTTTATTTTGGTGGTATTTATTCACCACTGGGATTTTGCTATATAAATGAAAAAGTCCACAAATGTTGAAAAAAAAAAAAAGTGTTTGTCTTACAAAATTTTGCAAATAAATCTTTCTTCATAAAACGTGGCCAAAATGTATTCAGTTATCTTTTTATTAAAAAAAAAATAAATAACCCAAATTAGTTAAGTTTATAACCATAAATTATTTTAAAAAATGTTTATATATATATATATATATATATATATATATATATATATTATATATTATATATATATATATTAGGATTTATATAGCGCCGACAGTTTGCTCAGCGCTTTACATTATGGTGGGAGACAATACACGAGACAGCACAGTAACAATACAATTCGATACACGAGGGGTTCGAGGGCCCTGCTCCTTGGAGCTTACAATCGAGGAGGGAGGGGATAGTGGTACAGGAGGAAATAGCTGTGGGGGATGGAGTGGTTGGAAGAGTAGAGGAGGTCAGTATTAGCTGAGGGCGGGGTAGGCTTCCCTGAAGAGAGAGGTTTTCAGAGTGCGCCTAAAGGTGAGCAGAGTGTGTGTGTGTGTGTGTATATATATATATTCTATATTTTTTTTTTTTTTTACATACTGTCACCCTAGCAGTACAGTGTCACCATAGTGACACTGTACTACTTGTGAGGGGTGATTATTTTTTTTTATTTTTTTTTACTGATTGCTTTTACACCCATAGAGGCTGTAAAAGCAATAATTTCTCCTTCTCTCTGGCTGCATTCCTGCAGCCATTGAGAAATACTTTGAGAGCTGTGATTGGTCACAGCTTGTCACATGGTACAAGGCTGTTGTGAGTAGCTCTGTACCATGTGACCTCTGTGATCATTCACAGATTTCACAAGTAGTAAGCAATAATGTCAGAAGTGACATCTTGCTTACTACTATTCACGTGGTCACTGATTGGCCAGTCAGTGATCACGTGAATCAGGACCTCACACAGAGGTCCCGTACAGTGAACGGTGTTCCACTGTGTCCTCCGGACACAGCAGGCACCGGAGCGCGGTGCCGCGTGCTCCCAGGGAGTATGCACAGGCTGTGAATGTGGGCGCCGTTTATAAACCCGCAACCCGCTACTGCACTGCTCCCGTCCGGCCGTTTATATACATGTGTGCAGACGGGAAGTAGTTAAAGTAACACCCTTGCTGCTACTAAAATGTTTTTCACTTTAATACAGAGAATGTCAGAAAACCTTTTTACCTCTATATCCACTTTTAGAAGTGGACAAATGTCTAGTCTTTGTAATCCTTAGATGGAAGAAAAGCCCAAGTCTAACATAATTGTTAAAAATGTTCCTTCCCCCTCCTACTTATCTTGCCTAACCTATATAAAAATGATGTGTAGGGGCACGTGGGCCAGCACAGTGGCTAAATGGTACTAGTCGTTGGTTCAGATCCCAACCACGGCACCACCTGCCTGGAGTTTTGCATGATCTCCTTGTGCCTGCGTGGGTTTCCTCCGGGTACTTCGGTTTCCTCCTGCACTCCTCCAAAGACATGCTGGTAGGTTAATTGGATCCTGTCTAAATTGTCCCTAGTATGTGTATGTATGAGTGTGCGTTAGGGACCTTAGATTGTACGCCCCTTGAGGGTTAGGGACTGATGTGAATGCACAATATATATGTAAAGCGCTGCATAAATTGACAGCGCTATATAAGTACCTGTAAATAATAATCTGTATATTCACGTATTTTTACCACTTGCCCTCCTAAATCTATACAGTGGATATAAAAAGTCTACACACCCCTGTTAAAATGTCAGGTTTCTGTGATGTAAAAAAATTAGACAAAAATTATTTCAGAACTTTTTCCACCTTTTAATGTGATCTATAAATTGTACAACTCAATTGAGCAACAAACTGAAATCTTTTAAGTGGAGGGAAGTAAAAATATAAAACTAAAATAATCTGGTTGCATAAGTGTGCACACCCTTACACTAATCCTTTGTTGAAGCTCCTTTTGATGTGATTCCAGCACTCAGTCTTTTTGGGTATGAGTCTATAAACATGGCACATCCTGACTTGGCAATATTTGCCCGCTCTTCCTTGCAAAAACACTCCAAATCTGTCAGATTGCGAGGGCATCTCCTGTGCACAGCCCTCTTCAGATCACCCCACAGATTTTCCATCGGATTCAGGTCTGGGCTCTGGCTGGGCCATTCCAAAACTTTCATCTTCTTCTGGTGAAGCCATTCCTTTGTTGATTTGGATGTATGCTTTGGGTGGTTGTCATTCTGAAAGATGAAATTCCTCTTCATGTTCAGCTTTCTAGCAGAAGCCTGAAGGTTTTGTGCCAATATTGACTGGTATTTGGAACTGTTCATAATTCCCTCCACCTTGACTAAGGTCCCAGTTCCAGCTGAAGAAAAACAGCCCCAAAGCATGATGCTGCCACCACCATGCTTCACGGTGTGTATGGTGTTCTCTTGGTGATGTGCAGTGTTGTTTTTATGCCAAACATACCTTTTGTAAATATGGCCAAAAAGTTCAACCTTAGTTTCATCAGACCAGGACACATTTTCCCACATGCTTTTGGGAGACTTCAGATGTGTTTTTTGCCAAATGTAGCCCGGCTTGGATGTTTTTTCTTCGTAAAAAAAGGCTTCCGTCTTGCCACTCTACCCCATAGCCCAGACATATGAAGAACACTGGAGATTGTTGTCACATGTACCACACAGCTACTACTTGCCAGATATTCCTGCAGCTCCTTTAATGTTGCTGTAGGCCTCTTGGCAGCCTCCCAGACCAGTTTTCTTTGGTCTTTTCATCAATTTTGGAGGGATGTCCAGTTCTTGGTAATGTCACTGTTGCTCCATATTTTTTCCACTTGATGACTGTCTTCACTGTGTTCTATGGTATATCTAATGCCTTAGTAGAGCCATACAAACCAGTGTGCCTACAATGTAAAATGTGCACACAGTTAACCCTTTGATCACCCCAAATGTTAACCCCTTCCTGCCCAGTGTCATTAGTACAGTGTCAGTGCTTTTTATTAGCACTGATCTCTGTATTGGTGTCACTGGGGATGTCAGTGACAGCAAGTCTTTCTTCATAAGTTTAGGCCAAACTGTATTCTGCTACATTGCTTTGGTCAAAATAACCCAAATCAGTGCTTGTTTAGTTTGTAGGAAAGTTAGAGTCCACAAAATATGGTATATAGGCATCTTTCATTTCCTGAGGCCCAGAAATGTCAGGACAGTACAGATAATCCCCCAAATGACCCATTTACAGACCCAAATACAGTCTATGGTATTTAGTAAGAGGCATGGGGAGTTTTTTGAAGTTGTAGTTTTTTGCCACAGTGTTTTGGAAAATGAAGAAATTACAAAAATAAATAAATTTTCCTCCCAATTATTTTGGTAGTTTTTGGTTTGCACACTGTCACCAGTGCAGTTCAGCTTCATCATATAACTGACGTGGCAGCTGTCGGGGACACTGGTCAATTTTTTTTTTCTTTAGAGGTTTTTTGTTTTTTTTTTAACTAACTGACCAGAGCACTACAATGTTTCCATAGTAACATTGTACTACTCTGGGGAAGTGATCAGGATTTCACTGTTATAAGCAATCATTTTTACTGAATGAAATTGATTCATTCAGTGTTTACTATTGTGGTTAGCTGTGATTGTCCCTGACTGTACCATGTGATCACTGTGGCCAATCACACAAATCAGCACAATAGTACACAATGGATGGCATGAATGAAAGCCATCCATTTTGTCCATTTGCCATGTGATTTGCTGTGATTGGTCACAGCGGTCACATGGTAACAGCAACGGCCAGTAGACTGGTTATCTGGACAGGTTGTGCTGCGGTGCATTCACCCGAAACTGTGAATGGTCCCGCCCAGCTTTTTGTCCATAGGCTAGGCAGGGACTGGCTAATCTGCTCCGATCGTGTGATCCTGCAGCTCCGATTCAGAGAACTCTCAACAACAGCTAAAATTTCTGGTAGCTGTGATGTCACCCATAGCCCCCCATAGCCCAGCTAGTGTTGGTGCTCCCTCCTGTCCCTTGCAGCATCAACTCAATGATACAGGGCAGCTGGAGCTGTGGGATCATATGACCGGACCAGAGTGGACTAAAAATAGGTAAATATACACATTTTTTTATACAGGTTAGATAGGTAGAAAGAGGGGTGGTAACATTTTTAAGAATAGATAGGTGTTAGGTACTCTTCCACTTTGATCTCCTATGCCATTTTCTGTTTTTGTATTGGTAGCACATTGTGACAGGCATTATTTTATAATGTCGGAGGGCTCTTTCCTTTGAGTCAGTCCCTTATGCCTTCTGAACATTGATCCATGTGGGAACGTTTTTCAGAGAGCGGCAATGCAGTAATGACCCCTCCCTTTTTTTTTTTTTTTGTCTTTTTAAATTGAAATACAGAAATTGGGAAGAGTTAGAACCCCTATCTGATTTTATTGTCTGTGTCCGTGCTGGGGAGATTCACCTTTTCTCTTTGTCCAGATGATGATTGTCCGTGGCACTGGAAGTGAACGAAAAACCCAATATTTTTGAGTTGTGACCAGAATAGGAATAAAGGAGATTTTTTTTTTTTTTTTTTTTTGCGGGGACTTTTAGTTTTTTTAGAGAATTAGAGGGATTTTCACTTAACGTTCTCTTGCTGCCTCAAGACATGAAGTGAAGGAATATCTCCCCAATGGGACACAAACATTAAAAAGAACTTGTCAGGGCTTTTAACTGTTCACCGCTCCAAAACTAAGAAAAGTGTTGCCTTTAGAGTTGCTTTAAGGTTCCCTTGTATGTACAATACATTGTGCCTGTGTCCTCCAGTCTGCTGTTCACTGTAGCCTTGTGTGTGTTTTGTTTTGTTTTTTTGTTTATATATTCTAGAATTTCTTTGTGGTACTTTCATATCCTTATAATTATTTGTAGAGCTCATACTTGTATAACTTATATTTCCCATTTTTTACATTTTGTTTTCTTATGTCCATGATTTACAGAGAAATTGGAAGAGGACTCAAAAGAAGGAATCAAAGAGAAACTAGACCCAGCAGATACCACAAGCACTTGTCCAACAGAAAATGGTAACGCCTGTAAGCCTGGCGATAAGGAGCCCTTAAAAACAATTTGCGAAATAAAAACAGAACCTCCTGATGTAGAGGAGGGTATAAAGGCTACCAAAGAAGAAAGTGACTCCTTCAAGGAGAATGTAAAGCCTGTGAAGGTTGATATAAAAAATGAAAAGGCAGAACCAAAAGACTTGAAGGAGTCAAAAGGGACTGCCGATAAGATTCCTTCCACGCAGGAGCCAGAACACTCAGAAATTTCTGTCATTGTCAAGCGCGCACTGAAGATCATGTGGAAAAATCTGTTGAGGATTCGGAGAAAATGAAGAATGACCAACAGGCCAAGATCCCCTTGAAAAAACGTGAGCTCAAGCTCACTGATGACTTTGATGGACCAGTTAAATCGTCGCTGTGCAAGTCAAAGACCCCTACAAAAGAGCTGCTTCAAAAGGATGAAGAAAAACTAGATGACGATAGCACAAAGATGTCCGCTGCTCCTGCAGCGGTTCCTGAAGGGAAGCAGTTGGTCAACGGAGAAGTAAATGGTGACAAATCACACAAAGCAAAGGTAGACCATGTGGAGAACAGTAACACCACCCCAAGAGAATCCATCATCAGCACAGCAAAGGAAGAGAATGGTGTAGTCGAGAAGAGAACATCCAGTGTCATCAAAAGTTTGCATGAACTTAAAGAGAACAGCAAACCTAAAATCCCTGAGAATTTGGAAAAAAGTGCAAACGACCTCAGCAAAGACATTATTATTCCTTCATCGGAGGAATCTTCTCCAAAAACCTCCTTAAAAGAAGGTTCATCTGTGTCTGAAACACACAAAGGCAGTGTGGACCCCAAAGGAGGAGAAGGGCAAAAAGAATTGCTTTCTTCTCTTGAGAAGAAGACAGCTAAGACCAAGAAAGACTGCAAAAAGAATACCAATGATTCTGAGTCTGTAAAGGAGGCTGAGGTCCCGAAGAAGCCTGTCATAGTTGCCACTTCAGACAGCCCTGATGATAAGAAATTATCTGAGCCATGTGCATCTGAAGACAAGAAATCACGCGACTCTGAAAAACAAGATGTAGACGGTAGTAAGGAAGAGACTGCATCCAAGACCAGGGATACAAAAAAGAAATTAAGTGCAAAATCAAAACTGGCCTCATCCAGAAAAGCATCCGCAACAGCAAAGAAATCAACGCTGAGCGAAGAGAAGCCCACAGAAAGTAACAAAGAAGCTGAGGAAAAATGTGAGCCGGTGTCTTCTGATAAAGTTGAGGAAAAGGAGAAACTAGAAGAAAAGGAAAAACCAGAAGAAAAAGAGAAACAACTAAAAAAGCCCCCCGAAACTGAAAAGAAAACATTCAGTTTAAGGAGCAAACGGAGGGAAAAACAGGCTGCAAAGGTAATCGAAGATGCCAGTGAAATGTCCGAGTCTAAAGAGCCGGAGGTTAAGAAGACGGACAGTAAAGACAAAATCTCAGAAAAGCTAAGTTTACTTTCCAGAAATAAACATAGGCTAGAACCCATGGCAGAAGAGGACAACAGCGGATCGGAGAGCAAAGAGATGACATCCGAGAGGCAGAAGGACGGCATCAAATTGACAATCCGCATCTCCAACAAGAAGAGGAGGCCGGAACTGCCTGTGGAGAGTGTGCCTGTGGATGATGCCGAGGATGCTGAGAATGAGGACAGTATCGGGAGGAGGCTGAGACGATCTCCCAGGATCTCAAGACCTTCCATAAAGGTAGCTGACGTCAAAGAACGCAAGCCTGAGAAAAAGCAAAGCGACGATGAGGAGGAGAAGCCTGCGCCTGCAAAACCAGCTAGGGAGGAAAAGAAATCTGAAAAGGAGCCATGCCAGAAAATAAAACAGGTAAATTGTCCAGAAAATGTTTCCAATTTTTTTTTTTTATATATATGTACATTATATATTGTTTCCTTTGTTTTAGAATCAAATTTAGTCTAAGTCTACTTTGAGTTAAAGTGGTTATAAAGCCTAAAATGTTTTGTTTTTTTTGGGTTTTTTTTTACACCTTTAATGCATTTCTTGCATTTGGAGACAATGTTTAGGCATTAGTACCCCCACAGTTTATTTTTTGCCACAAGTGGAGTTTTATTTCAGTAAAACTGAATGTTGGCTGAGCTCAGCCTATATAAAATACTTTTCTACAGTTGCAAGAAAAAGTATGTGAACCCCTTGGGATTACGTGGAGTTTTGCATGAATTGGCATAAAATGTGCTCTGAACATCATCTAAGTCACAACAATAGAAGAACACAGTCTGCTGAACATAATACTACACAAACATTAGATGTTGCCATGGTTTAATTGCACATAACATGTAAACATTCACAGTGCAGGGAGGAAAAAGTATGTGAGGCCCTAACTTAATGACTTCTCCCAGAGCTAATTGGAGCCAGGAGTGAGCCAACCTTGACTCCAATCAGTGTGATGATATTGGATGTGTTGCTGACAGCTGTCCTGCCCTTAAAAAACACACCTGTTTTGGGTTTACTGGTTTCAAGAAGCACTGTCTGATGTGAACCATGCCTCACAGAAAAGCGCTCTCAGAAGACCTACGATCAAGAATTGTTGACTTGCATGAAGCTGGAAAGGGTTACAAAAGTATCTCCAAAAGCCTTGATGTTCATATGTCCATGGTAAGACAGACTGTCTACAAATGGAGAAAGTTTAGCACTGTTGCTACTCTCCCTAGCGTGGTCGTCCTGTAAAAATGACTGCAAGAGCACAGCGCAGAATGCTGCATGCGGTAAAGAAGAATCCCAGAGTGTCAGCTAAAGACCTACAGAAATCTCTGGCACATGCTAACATTTTTGTTGTTGACACATCTACAATAAGGAAAACATTAAACAAGAATGGAGTACATGGGAGGACACCACAGAGGAAGGCCATTGCTGTCCAAAAAGAATATTGCAGCACGTTTGAAGTTTGCAAAAGAGCACCTGGATGTTCCACAGCACTGGCAAAATATACTGTGGACAGATGAAACCAAGATTGAGTTGTTTGGGAAGAACACACAACACTATGTGTGGAGAAAAAAAGGCACAGCACACCAACATCAAAACCTCATCCCCACTGTAAAACATGGGGAGGGAGCATCATGGTTTGGGGCTGCTTTGCTGCCTCAGGGCCTGGACGGATTGTTGTCATTGATGGGAAAATGAATTCCAGAGTTTATCAAGACATTTTGCAGGAAAATGTACGACCATCTGTCCGCCAACTGAAGCTCCGCAGAGGATGGGTGATGCAACAGGACAATGACCCAAAGCATACAAGTAATTCAACAAAACAATGGCTGCAACAG